CTGTCAGCAGTTGCTAATTAACCAGGCTGTTCAATACATAATTAATTCAAGTGAAGTCTTCGAATACCAACATGGATGCCATGTTGTACAAAACACTTTAGATGGTATTGCCATATCCGTTCCTTTCTCGATATGTTTTGTGTTTATTTCAAGCAGCCATCATTTGCTTGAACTTTGATTGGAATTCTTTGTTGGAATGTGAAAAAAGTCGTGAGAAACGGTTTTGCAACAATATTTCTAAATGAAGTCAAAGCAGTTCAAAAAAACAATACTAACGGAGTTTGTCAATGCAATAGAATTTTGCAACTTCAGATACATTGAATGACTGCCAATGGCGTGCAAAATTAACACCGTTTAAAATCACAGCAGATGAAGCCACAAGCAGCATGTAGTCAACCGCAAAAATTTTAATTGGTCAGAGTATTGCATAAACGACAATAGAGTCCAGTTCACTGAACAAAGAACAAACTAACAAATTTCTAACCAAGATCAACCGCAAAAATCGTAATTTTCGCACCTGACCAACTGTTACACATCATCTCAAGCGAAAATATTTCCAAAGCGGACTAAGGGCGCAGCTAATTGCAGTTTACAAACAGAAGACGAGTGTTTATAATTTCCTTATTGAAAGCAAACTGCATTTTCAGCTTGAGAATTCGACAGGATGCCAACATATGTTTTTGTCTCCAAAAGTCATTAACAAGCCGCATTGAACCATGCAACAGGTACCGACACACTACACTACACTCACTCACTGGTACAATTACTTCAATGCTCCGATAAGGCCGGTCACTCATCTTATACGCTTGCTGACACAGCGGGACATAACCTTAAAGCTGTATATTACAAAATAGGCGAGTCCTGTTTTTGTTGCAAATAACACAAACAATTCACAGTTGTTGGATCAACAATGATTGGTTTCGGTCAACGTCAAAGACTCAACAAGAAGATGCGGCTTCGCCTTTTGAGATGTGTGTGGCCCAGCAGCCAAACTGAAAGTAGTCGAATTCTTTCTTCAACTGATATTGTGTAGAAAATGAAATGAATTGAAAAAATGTGGTCATTTTGTTGTCAAAATATTACGATTTATGTGTTGTATTGAGAGCAAGGATAACAAGACTGCCGCCGCCTCTTTTGTGCACGTAATTTTTGAGATCGTACAAGAGATGCACTAAGGTATACTGGACAAATTGATAAATAATGTTTGGCGTCAATTTGGTTGATAATTTGGTAATTGTTTGGATTGGGATATGAGCAATATACAGCAATGGGATATTAAAATTGACAATGGTAAAGATACTTAAAACGATAGAACAGGTGACTCTGTTCTTTTAAATAAATTGGATCATCTACATCAAATTTTTCAATGTAATACTATGAAAACTTTTTTTATCGAACACCAACAAGTCAGCAATTCTCCCAACAGACCGCTTAATTTGTATTGCAAATAATAGTTGGAATCTAGACATATGACGTCGTTCAACAGAAATGTCCATTTATGAAAAAATCTAACAGAGCTTCTGCGTCTTAACTTGATTAAACGCCATTTAGTGTCGAAAATACAATTCAGCTCCGTTGAATTTTGATATTAAGTTACTCAGCTGATTTTACATTAGCATAATTTGAAGCCCAATATAACTTCCTGACGGAATATATAGTTCACCTGATTTAAGAGAAAGCAATTCTGACTTAAAATTTCTGAGAAGACTTTTCAAGGTACCATGGTACATTAGAACGAATGACATCCTCAGGGACCTCAAGATTGATTCGATGAAAAAATACGTAACGGATAAAGCCGTGAAATTATTTGCGAAAATTGGCAGACTTACCAAAACCGCGTTATCGAATCTCAGAATAGTTACAGGCTCCTTGGGGAGGTATGCAGATCTGAGATCAATTATTGCTTAGTCTGATGAAGTGATAAACAATAATCCAGTCAAGGCGTAAAGAGCGGTTTTGAAGATACCTCGCAGTTAATAGTGAGCAAAACTGCTCAATTGCACTGCCTCAAATAACTTCAACATAATATACTACAAGCCCCACTCATTCAGTATATCCTTTGTCAAAATTTAAACCAAAGTCTTCCCATTCCATTTCCCATTCTACGTTATTGACTTTTATTTTCTTTAGATTATGTTTTCATTTGCTCTAATTCTTCACATTTGGAAGTATCCCATTAACTCCTTAATATGGAGTTGTAAATTATTTACAACAAAATTAGCATTTTTGTCACCATGCAAAATACAGGGTGAGCAAAAAGCGGAATTGAATTCATTGAATCCAAAACAATATTTGCTGTATATAAATGAAACAATAAAGAACACAATAGGGAACCTTAAAAGACGCCACATGTATTATTTATATATGAAAAGTATACTTTTGGACTTTAACCTATAAATTTTTCTATACCCAAGAAATCAACGAAGATCCTTGAGAGACGTCCGTTTTAATTTTTTTATAGATAATAAGTAAATTTTGGACTTTAACCAAGAACTTTCTATTTGATAAAAAGCTTACTAAAAGTCTTATTATTTCAACTGACATATTATAAATTCTTGATATGACGATCAATCCTTATAAAATGCTATCAAACAAAACCATTCCAGTAGATTTCAGATCACTGACAGACAGACTGATAGATTTTTTTGTAGCTTAAGAATAATGTGTTTTTTAAAAATTCTTCTAAGAAATACTACTGATTTTTCTTCAATATAGACCTACTTAAAAAATTTTTACCATTGATTAATCAGCTAAATAAGAAATTCTCTTAAAATAAGCGTCTGAAGATTGTTTTTCACTTTTACATATTTCACGAAATATGTATAATAATTTTCATTATATATAACTTAAGAACCCAATAATCTTCCTGCTTTACATTGTGGCTCTCACACATAATCTCATAAACATATTCCGGCACAAAATTAATGCTATTGCATGACTGGTCTTCCAACCAGCAGCGGGTGCGCGTTTTATCAATATCTTAAATCCTTTCGACAAATGCGCAGGCAGCAACACACTTTACACGCCGTAACGCGCTCGTCAGCCTGTAGTCCTACCTAAAAACATGTAAAACTCCGCCGCAGCTCTGCTGCAACATGTAAGTGACCGTGATACATTGTAAATCTCTTTAAATGAGCATTTAAAAGGTTCTGATTTCGATAAGTGCAACTGCAGTAAGCAGCCATCCACCATCCGCCATCGTCAACCGGAGGAGCGCGTTTACCCATTGCGTTGATAGCATCTTCTGCCGTTTTTCTTCTTTCTTCTTTTTTTTCGTTTGGTTCGGGTTTGACTTCATTTCACTTCACTAAAGACTCGAATAGAAGTCTGTGAAAAATAAAGTATCCATTTTATTTGGAATTGAAATCCGAGCTCTCTTTGTTGTAGTATAAATTTATTATAATGTTTATTATTATTATTGTTGTTGTTGGTGTTGTGCGTTAAGTTGTTGTTGTATTCTTTGTGTTGATCGTGTATTCCATTGTTGACAGGACCTAAGCGCGGTGTGTTCATTTAGTGAAAATTGTCACCCGATAGCGGTGATGAAGGTCGCATGTTTTATTGCGGTCGTTATGTGGTCAACGATAATATGGCGTATGGGTATTAGTTTATAATAAAGCCAGAAAATTATTTTCTTCAATATTCTCTTTCTTCTTTAATTTGAGTGCTGTTGAAAAGCGTTGTTATGCATAATTAGCGCTTATAACA